CGAAGAAAACGCGAAAAAACGTTTTGAGAAAGGGGTGTAACTTCAAAAAACCTGTGAAGTTAGGGATCGGGCGAGAACGTGATTACAATAGTGGCATGAAAGTGATAGTCGGATGAGCTGTCCAAATGTGTGTGCCATGGCGTGTAGCCGGCTACAATGAGCTCCGGTGTGGATGTCAGCCAATCGTTTTGGGGCCCTTATTGCGCCCTATCTAGGACGATTTTCGACCCGATGGCGTTCTATAAGCTATTCTTGGGATCACAGGTTCATGAGGAGAAATGTCAGAGATCATTTTTGTCGTGAACTGTTCCTTTAGAACCTCTGTGCCTTAAAAACCAGAAATATAATTTTTTTCCCTCTCTTTCCTGGAGATCTTAAAGGCATAGTTCACGATTGATAAGGCTACTGAGTTCTTCCCTTGGGATACTCAGTGTCCCCCATGGGTGGTAGAAGGGACCCTCTCGCTCCTTTAACCACGACGGTTAGGGCATAGTGGAAGCCCTGTTGCTGTCATAAGTGGCTTTCCCGCCACTCGATCGATGTCACTCAGACGCGTGTCGAGGCAATACAGATTGCAAATTTTCGTTCAAAGACCCACACACAATCAGCTGATCGCCGAGTGATGAGGCGATGTTTTTCCCCCATTCTTTTTTCCTCTGTTATTCTTTTTGCTAGGTGAGAGTTTGTGGTAATCCCCCGTCAACTTGGCCATATCATAACAAAATATCATCTGGGGGATACCTCTCTTTATCAACCATTCTCAACCGACTTTAAACGCAAACTCGCGGACTCAACCGGGTTTGGACGACATAAGCCAATTCGGCGGTTTGCCCCCTTAATAACACGTCCCAAAATCAAATCACCGTGTTGTCCCGTCCTATACTTGCTGATAAAATTTGCAGCAATGGATGACTTGGCACTAACTGCTCCCATTTCGATCGAGGTCCTACCTATCATAAGGTACGTGGTGGTCCCACTGATCGGATAGCATGTTTTCTTATTACCATCTTGGCGCAGCTACTCAAACAGATACTATCCCACACTACACCCAAATGCTCCTGAACCGTCATGGAATCATTTGATGTAGAGAGCCTCTACACTAACGTGAGTAATGGTTCAGTTATGGAAGCAGCACTGGAGCTGTTAAATCAGCGTCTAAGCACCATCGACATGTATGTATGGACTCTCTACTGATCAGGCGATGTCATTGCTCAAGGAATGCAGTTGCAACATTTTTAGATGGTCGGGAAAGTATTTTGAGCAGACAGG